TAGTGATTGTCTGCCAAAAATTGATTTCCGGTATTTGCCAAAAACTGATTGGTCGTATTTAAACTGCTATAAATAACTTGTTGGGCTATAATATGTGAAACATATGTCAAATGGATCCCTCATGGATAACATAAAGCCATCTTGGGCCACAAACAACATTTGTGTAACAAGGTAGAAGCCGCAATCAGTTTTTGGCAGTGACTTTTATATGACCTTTATTTATGCAATTCTCATTAACATTAAAAGTCTCTTGTAAGAGTAAGTTGGCCAAGAGGACAGCAGAAATGGCAGCAAAAATTACAAAAGTTCTGTAAACATATTTTAAGTGGGGCTAAAGGACCGAATTTGTTATAAAGTAACTACAGTAACACAGAGTTATACACATACTTGAAAAACTGATAATTTTTTAATTCAATTTATAATCCTTTTGTAAACCCTGTTCACCGAAGTCTATTACCAACACATGTAAAGATTTTACTCATAAAAAATACACAGACACATTGGAAATCCGTTTTTGGCACAGCACCGGGTAACAAACTCATCGTGCGATTCAGGTGAGATCTAAAACCTGCAGGTCCCCACGCGTGATCCAGAGGCTGCAGCTGCAAGAATAGAAACTACACCCTCGTTTCAGACACGTGACTATAATCCAGCGCTATCAGCCTGTGCTGTGTCCTGCTGATGGAGCTGTGATACTGAATCAACTTTGTTGACAAAGCGGCTCTTCGACGCGTGTAAAAACACTTTTGACGCTCTTTCACTGCGCGTGACTTTCACCGATTCACGCGTCATATCCAACTCTTCCCGATCGGTGCTTGTGATTGGTCACCTGTCGTACGTGGATCAGGGCTGAGAGGGTGATGAGAGAGCTGATCAGCGGACACGTATCCTCGGCGTGCGGCGCTCGCTCGCGGGCCTGTCAGCCTGGAGGTCGGGCTGGGTTCGTGTGTGTGTGCCGTACTCACGTCCTCGGGTTTCCCCAGAGCTGCCGCGGTGCTGGAGCACAGCCTCTTCAGAAAGGCCTCCGAGAACTGGCCGGCGGGCAGGTTGCTCTGTAGCTCGATGAAAGGCATGTTGCTGGAGCTCGCACGGACGTGGCCGTGGGAGGCTGAGACGGATGTGTCGTAAGAGCTGGCGAACCCGGAAGTAAACATGTAAAACCTTAACTCTTTACCTGGGCTGGGAAACTACAACTGTGATTGATGACGTCAGGTGTCATCAATCACAGCCCCCCCCCAGTCACATGACTGCGCCCCTCCCCACCACCAGCACTCACATGACTGCCCGCATGTTGGATCGTCGGCTCGCTGGTTGGGGTCCAGAAAGTGATGTGAGCACTTTGGACAGAGCCGCTCTCACTTCTACAAACCTGGACAAATGTGTTTAAACATAAACGAGACCGTCCACGGCTGCAGTGTGTGTGTGCTCCCACGCTTCAAGTCAAAACGAAACAAGCGCGAGCACTCACGGAGACCAGGTAACTTCAGCGTGGACTGTTAAACATCAGGTTCTTATGAAGCCCTACGGAGCCTCGCACGGGACTGTCCAGAGCACTGTTAGTGAACTTAACCAAGACTGACAGGGAAGACTTTGTCCCGGACGGCTGGTTTAATGTGCTCATAGTTCAGGCCAAGCGGCCGTGTCTTCCATCGCGGTGGTTGTTTCCGAGGTCTCAGTGCTGACCTGGAGGCACGTGGACTTAAAACACTCTTGCAGGATCTCACACAGCTTCAGTTCCTTTCTCTAGTGGACCTTGCGGGGCTCCGTAGGAGCTCGTTTCCTGTTTGTGCTGTAAAGAGAAAAGTGGACTGAATCACAAAAATCGCTTTCAGGGATGTTCCAGATCAGACCTTCACACAGTCATTAGGGAGCGTTTGCATTTTAAATATATTAACCCCCAACCGGTCGCAGCAGATGCCCCGCCCCTCCCTGAGCCTGGTGCTGCTGGAGGTTTCTTCCTGTTAAAAGAGAGTTTTTCCTTCCCGCTGTCACCAAAGTGCTGCTCGTAGGGGGTCACATGATTTTGGGGGTTTTCTTTACCTTACGATATAAAGCGCCTTGAGACAACTTTTGTTGTAACTTGGAGCTATATAAATTAAACGGAGGACTAGCGCTATCAGAAAGATTTCATAAATCCTTATTTGCTATCATTTTTGCTCCAGCAGTTGAATGATGATGGAATTTGGTAACAAAGAGTTTGCAGTGGCTGGGAGGAACAGACTCCTGCATGAGAGTAAGAGGGCTTCAGGGGGGATGACATGACCTATATGTATCCTGGGACGACCATATCGACAGGAGGGACGAGCAACACAGAGGCTGCAACAAGAAGGTGATGAGGTGTTTGCTTTTCAGTCACTGCGGGGAGATCGGCTCATACCAACAAACTGAATGAAGGCTGCCTCTGTGCTGCAAACTGGAAGCTGTGGTGGGGAGCAGGGCCCTGAACAAACTGGTATCCATCATAGATGATCTGCACCAACCTCTGAACAGGCAGTGCAGCAAAGAGACTCAGCTCTGCTGCCACACAGGACATCATTCAGACACACAGCACGTGTGTCGGGCAGAGCTGCAACGATAACGATCTGTTAGATTCAGTGTTTCTGGAGTTCCAGTCAGTCTTATTTTGAAAGCAGTGTTGTGTGGCTCATGCTGGGAGCTAACACACACAGACCTCTGTGCAACCTTACTGGCTGCTTCTTTCAAACAAACATCTATACAGGGACGCTCAGCTGTTGTTTGCAGATCTCACAAAGGCTCGATTCATTTTGTGGGTTTTTTGCAAATTTAACGGGACTATTAAAAAACACCTGGTGAAATTTAAAATGCAGCTTTCATGTGAAAACATTTCTGTAATGTTCAGATCTGTGTGCTGTTTACATTAGTGCAGTGTGTGGCACACACACCTGTGAGTATCCAGCTGCTAGCAGACTTACAGCACCAATCCAGCAAACAAACCTTTAATGTTCACAGTGTTTACCCACCATCATCATCATCAGTTTCCCACACTGAAAATAATCAAAGCAGGAAGTGAACATTTGTTTCGCTGCAGCATCCCAAAGTAGGACAGACCAACACGTGACGTCAACAGCAGCTATTTATTAAAGAGTTCATCACTGTTGTACAGTCAACACACACACACACACACACACACTCTCTCTCTCTGAAGGACAGCGCTCCCGTTGGTGTCACGTGATCTTCACCATGATTGTGGGGGTCCGTTCATCACACCAGCGATGTCACACCTGCACAATCACAAACAAACACGAGTGAGCGCCCTGCAGACATCAGTCGTCTCCTGACACCATCAGCGCACTTTGTTTTAAAGGGAACTGCTCCTAATGAGGGAACCAAAATAACCAGGATCGATTAGAGGTCCTGAATGTTTGTTTTCCACTGACTACCCACCCCCACTGATCACGTGACTGCACACTCAGGGCAATCACATGAAGCCGGTGGGCTGTTGTTGCAGGTTTTCTTGGCGTGCTCCGAGTAGAGCTGCAGTATGAGGCTCCACGCCTCCTTTACCAGACTTACCATGGGAGAACTTGCACTGTTTGAGCGCCTCGTTGAAGCCCTCACAGAGAGTGAGGTCTGTATGGTTGGTGGCACAATCCAGAAACTGTTTGACTTCAAAGTGACAGGGGCCTGGCTGGGCTGGAGCAGACCGGGGGGGCTCCTGAATGAGAGCATAAAGAAATGTCACACTCGTGGCATTTCAAACCACAGCAGCTGCAACATTAGAGCTGAGGCATGCTGGGCGTTGTCTGGGCGGCATTTCCAACCACCTCTTACCTGGTATGTAGCTTTGGCTGGTTCTGGACTGCTGCTGCTGCCCCCACCGAATGCTCCCGTGAGGGCGCTGCCAACCACGTGGCCCACAGCTGAGCCAACAGCTACTCCTGCAGCTGTGGTAGCCATCTGGGCCATGAGTCCTGGACCCTGGGACTGAGCAGGAGCTGGGGCCAGCGAGGCCGGAGGTGCATGAACAGGAGCTGGAGCGTGGGATGGAGCTGGGCTACAGACAGGAGAAAAACAGTCATGCAACACTGCTGCTAGCAGGACAAGAGCTTCCAGCTGCTGAACGCTCTCTGTGCTGCTGTTAGTTTCTGAGGGTAGGCTTCACATCAGAGTTAGCAGGTTTGGAGTTGGTTAGCATGCTGTGTGGATTTGTGATACGTCATCCGTCGCAGATCAAGTTCTGTTGCAATTCAAATTCCCAGATGTGCTCCGGCTCCTCCCGTCCTATCCAGGATGCATTGATGGCGGTTGCCTGCGTGGACTCAGTGCAGCCAAACATCCCAGAATGCATTCAGTCCAGAAGTCACACGTCACTTCGCTCATTCCTAAATGTTAGTGTTTGGTTTCTTTGCTCCTGCCTAAAGTTCAGCTTCATAACTGGATCATTTTATTTCATTTGGAGAGGTGTCAGTACATGTTGAACTGAATATTACATCAGATATGACAGGTGAAAACTGTGCTGTTCTTATTTCAACAGCTGAATTCAGGCTAGCATTAAACACATTTTAGTTCAGAGATGATCAAATTATGTTTTTAATATTTGTATAATTGTCCAAGCTCAGAGCTGTTAGCTGAAGCTGCTTCACTCACCTTTTGTGACGCAGAAAAATGTCAGCAGTGTTTCAGGCGCACGTCACCGTGAAAGTCACGTGTACGGCGGGATCAGCGCTGCGTTTGCACTAATGCAGCAGCAGCGCTGAGATATTAACACACAGGTACTGTGACAGTCTCACCTGGCTGGAGCCGAGGGACGGCTGCGGCTTCCTCTGGCCATTGGAGATGATTTGGCGGACAACGCAAAGCCTGGACACGCCGACCTGGTCGCCTCTACACCGGCTCGACTGACCTTGTGCAACTCGCCTGTAATCCCCCCCAAAGAGCAACTGGAGGCAAACATCGCGAGATTTAGGCGTTACTTTAAACTCCCGTAGTGTCTCCTGGCGGGGAGGGTGGGGGGGCTGCACTTCTTGGGTTTTTAAAGTTTCATTGGAGGTTGGTAAACAGCAAAACGGCGCATTAGCGCCATCAGCTGGTATGGGGATGATCCAGCATGTTCAAAACCAGCAACACTAAATCTCAGCTGCTGACAAGCGTCCATGGCTGCAGAGCTCCGTTTGCAGCAGCTCACTGAGATCTGGCCAGTGTTGGCCAAGTTACTTGAAAAAAGTAATGAGATTACAGTAACGCGTTACTGCCCATCTCTGGATCTGGCTGCCTCTTTGTCTTCTTGTGGTTTTGGGTCACTTCAGTGACGCCTGTCCTTCGCACAGTGGTCACAGGGCCCTGAATGAAAACTGTGCTGCTCCCTCCCGTGCGTCTCATTTCTCTGTGTTTGCTGGATTTTCTGAAACCATTGTCCTTTCCTTTCTTGCTCCTTTCGTTAGAGTTTGCGCTCTGATGTCTGAGCTGCAAACTGACCCGTGGTCTTGTATCGTCGTCCGGCTGCAGAGCTCAAAGAGCCCATTGCTGATCCTTTTCCCTAATCTGACATGAAACTGGGACAATAAACGCTGTGTGTGAGGCAGTACAGATGTGGACAGAACTGTAACACTGGTCCATGTCTGTGTGACTGTGTGCCGGTGTAGAAAAGAAGCAGTAATGGAAGATACACCCCACGGCAGTGCTGCTGTCTGGGCGACTGTCCACCCACAGCTCTGTGCTTCTCCTCATTTTCACAGGTTTCTGTAGTTTGATGTCATAACCAAGGATTTCATCTTTTCATTCTGTCCCTTTACAGCTGTTCACTGTTACACACAAATCATGAAAGCAGCCCGTGACTGCAGCGTGGGGGGAGTCCTCTCAGCTCTGGCTGTGGTGAGCGCTCACAGGCAGTACCGCCCCTGACCGCAGGGGCGCTGTGTGCTGATCGCCGGGGTTCCTTCTGGAAAAGCTTCGTCGACGTTAAAGCTTCCGCAGAGCGTCCGTCCTGTGAGCCGAGGTGCAGGTGGTGGTCCCGGGTTATGCATGTCAGATAGCAGCAGTAACAACGCACAGGCTCCGCCTTCTGTGAGAGGGCCGAAGGTCTGAAGATGTCTGCCGCCGTGGACTTCCACTCTCAGATCGCCTCCATCATGGAGGTGCTGGCTAACGCGGCCGTGGCGGAAATCTGTAAAGTTGTGGACGATGGATACGCGGTGGTTCACCTGGAGATGTCCCGGAGCCAGAAGGAGAACGAGTTCCTGAGGAGGAAAATCAAGCTGCTGGAGCTGCAGATCGCCCGGTACCGAGCGGAGAGGGTGAGGGGGGCAGAGGGCTCCATCAGCAGCCGCTTTCCCGGGGTTCGCCTCTTCAGCCGGCAGAGCAGGGACTCGCAGGCGGGTATGTAGCACCGGCACCGGGTGGTGAAGCATTACCGTCATAGGACAGGCTGGCAGACACGATCAGGACGCGGTGGGAGGGCAGTGTGCCGTGACTCAGCGTGACACAGTCCACTGGGCACTCGGTGATTTTCGTGTTTGACCACGGCCGCGGGCCTGTCCTGTGTTTGGAGCGTCCTCCTCTGTAGCTTGGTGGACTCGAGTGTCAACGCCACGGGCTTATTATATCCAGGCGTACTCACACCCGAGGGATATGTTTGCAGTTCCACTGTTTCTGTGGGCTGATTATCGTGTAGTCCATAGTAAACACACCGCTGACCTCGGTGCCTGAGTCAGCGATTTCACTCCTGTCTCTGATTCGTTGGCTGCCACTGGAGGAGAACGTACTGGCGGCTGCGCAGTAACAAAGCAGGGCAGGGCCCAACAAACCCACGACCCTGGCTTCCCTCATCCACGGTGTGGACAACATGTGACCAGTCACACTGGTTATTGTACTAGCAGCTGATTGGTTGGTCCAGTTAAAGCACTCAGTAGAGTGGGGCGGAGCTACTGTAGCCTCAGTGCTGGTTGATGGTTTGACTGTCAGTGATAAACACAACACACAGGTTACAACTACGTGCTGTAAAATAGTTTGCAGCCAAGAGAAAACAAAGTTTCCTTTAAGAATTGATATCAGACGTTAGAGCAGGGTCCCCAATCCCAGGCCTCGAGGGCCGGTGTCCTGCAGGTTTTACATCTCACCCTGGGTCAACACACCTGAATCACATGATTGGCTCATTACCAGGCCTCTGAAGAAAGTCAAGACATGTTGAGCAGGTCATTTATACATTTAAATCAGCTGTGATGGATCAAGGACACATCTAAAAACCTGCAGGACACCGGCCCTCAGGGACTGGGATTGGGGACCCCTGCGTTAGACTGTCGGCACACACGTCTCAGGGATCTCCCAGGAGTGGCTGTTTTCTGGAGATCTGATTGGTCAGTAGGTGGTGATTTGTACCTGTTCACCTGTGATGAAGTCTGTTTGTCCAAACACTCAAATCCAGCTTAGCTGTTACGATGATCTACTGCGTCAGCCGTCGGTGTAAGGAGGGCTGACTCGGAGCGGCGAGCCTCTGACTCTGTGGACATGCAGCTTTTTAATACATAACGTGCACATGTGTTTGGCACGACATTAAACACCTGATTGTTTATATGAGTCTTTATTTTGAATGATCAGACTCACGAGCCTCTAATCATTCTTCTGGTATCCCATCAGGCCCCTCTCTGCAGGGCAGGACCAGGTTTCTGAACCGAGGGCCAGGAGCTCATCAGTCTGTGCAGAAGATCCAGCTCGTCAGTCTGGACCAGGATCCTGATCAGGAGGTTGTGACCACCACCAAAGCCGAGGTAAATCCTCACCCACACACGTCCGTTTACACACCAGTCCAAACTGTTCACACTTACAGACTGTCACACAAAGTTTTTATAGTTTTAAGTTGTTTTTAAATGGTCATGGCTGGATCTGTGACTGCGAGTGACCACAGTGGCCCCGGCAGACCTCCCTTTGTTACTCTACCCCCGTTTAAAACATACGATCCATGAAGGTGTAACACGGACAGGCTCAGAGCAGATGCCTGATGTAACCCACACACCTCACCACCGTCTCCTCGTACGTGTCCTGCACCACCTCACACACTGCTCTGACACTGCTGACCTTCATGCAGCACCACAGTTCCTCTCTCAGCAGCCTGTCATCTGCTTTCTCTCATCCTCAAAGACACAGTGAAGCTGACCTTCTCTGTTCTTCTCCATCATCACCCTCAAAGCAAACATCTTCTGCTCACTGATCTCTGTAACCTTGCTTCAACAGCTCTGTCCCACGTCTGCCTGCTGTGGCTCATCGTCCCTCTGTAGTTACTGCAGCTCTGAACATCAGCCTCGTTCTGGCAGATCTGTACCAGTACAGTTCTTCTCCATGCTTCAACAGCCTCTCACAGACACCTTCATACCTGCAAAGGTCATCTGGACCAAGTGTATTTCCACTCTTCATCCTCTTGTAGCTGACCTCACTTCCTGCTTATTATTCCTCTACACTTCCTGATTCACTAACTTCCCCCCACCCTCCTCCTTCCATCGCTCTCTGTTTTTCCAGTCGTGGGAGGAGCTATGAGGACTCCCTGGGCTTGCAGGGAACACAATAGAACAGATGTAGACATTTCTATAATAGAGTGTGAGTGTCTGTGACCACAGTCACATGTGCTTTAGTTCTTTCATGGTGTGTGTGCTTCAATGCACTCTCTAACAGAGTGTACTCACACTTCTGTCCCACTGCCTGTGAACACTTTCCCCTCACGATGTGATGTTTCTTAGCATGTCTGACGTCGTAACGTCCACAGACAACAGTGACAAACATTATTGGCTTTGTCTTTCTTCCGGTGCGTTTTCATTCAGAGGTGGTAGCAAGAACAGCTACAGCAACAGGAGCTAATGTGTCTGCATTTAGCAAAAGCCTGTAAATGCTCACTTGTCTCTGTTTTCCAAGCCAAATTTCTTCACTGGCAAAATATGTGAGGGTTTGTGTTTGCAGCTACGCTCAGTTGCTGTCCACAGCTTTGCTGTTAGCGTCCTCCGTGATACGATAGCCCTCAAGCTAGCTGCTGCTGTCATGTGGTGCGTCCCTCATTTAAAGTGAAAAGTGTTCTTGTCGTTGTTGAGCGTGAAGAAGAAATCTAATGTTGGGTCCATAATTATCTGGAGGATGACGGCACAGTAGAGAAGCAGCACAACGTCTCAGGGAGGAAACGCAGTATTTGTTGATGCCTGTGGGCTTCAGACTGTCGTCATTCACTGCAAACTAATACAAACAGTCCTAATATTTAAAATGTGCACAGTCTAGTTACCTGTCTGCCTGTGAAAATGGGCCTTTAAAACCAGAAACCAAAACATCACGGTGGGTACGTGGAAGTATCAGCTGGATTCATGCAGACAGGCTGCAGCTTTGCTCTGCATGGAAACAGTTATGTAACACGTTACTATGTAACTATTTATTTGGACGTGTGTTGTAATGATTACATTTGAAATAGTTTGATGATGTGAAGAACAGTGTTGTTCTCAAAGTGGGTGTGTCCTCTCAGTCAGCAGAGCCTGAGGGGGAGGGCGAGCTGCTGATCGTCAAGGTGGAGGGAGCAGTGGACGCTGGGTCTGTTGACCACAAGCTGCCGAGACGAGATGCTGCCTCCACCACTGCTACGTCACTCGGCGTCAGCGACGGCCAGACATCCAGACACCTAAGAGGAAAAGAGGTCAGTGGATCCAGCGTCGTCGGCTTTGTTGACGGTGGGACGGCTGAGATTGAGGGCGGCGACACTTTTCACAGTTCCCAGCCGCAGCAGACCGGAGCAGGGGACCGTCGGCCTTCGAGTAAAGGTGCTGACACCGGGCTGGGTACAGCTTCCTGTGAGGACAACAGCAAAGATAACCAGGCGGCGTTGGAGCCCTCCAAGTGCCCGCTGCCAGAAGTGATCGTCATTGATAGGGGAGGGGCATCGGACAAGGAGACCGCAGGGGAGGGGGGTGACTCGTCAGATGCAGTCCAGACAACCAGAGGACGAGACGGACACAAGGACGCGACTCGGTCCTCGGGTCTGTGCTCAGCCGGAGATGGGTCTGTGCTTCCTCACAATGACCCTCCAGGAACCTCCAGCATCAACTCCTCCAGTGACACGCACCTCCTGACTTTACACCACCCTGCGGTCCAACACAAAGCCCTCCCTCTGTCCTTCTACCAGGCCGTCACAATGGAGCGTCCGTACGGCTGCACCATCTGCACCAAACGCTTCTTCATGGAGTCGGACCTGCAGAAGCACATGGCCAGGCACACCAGGGAGAAACCCTACACCTGCCTGCTGTGTGGCAAAAGCTTCGTATGCCAGAGCCAGCTGGATATCCACCACAACGTGCACACCGGGGAGAGACCTTTCAGCTGCTCCGTCTGCAACCGGCGCTTCTCCCACCCCAGCAACCTCAAGAGGCATCAGAAGATCCAGCACTGAACCCAAAGACGAACTCTCCACAGCCCGCTGCACCACAGCTTCTCCTCCAGAGGCAGGCTTATACACTACTAACCTTCCTCAGCCTTAACTTCATGAAACAGGACTGCATGAATATTATCACATGAGCTGCTGTCACGTCACCCACACAGTCCTCTGCAGCACACAAAGGACACACACTGTTGTTGATGAGGGACAGGATGCAGTATGTGAGTGTGTAAGGATGAGTATGGAACAGCAGCGCACACAGAGACACACACAGACACACACAGACACACACAGACAGACAGACACACACAGACACACACAGACAGACAGACACAGACAGACGGGGAGACACACACACACACACACACACACACACACACACACACAGACACACACAGGCGTTTCCATGGAAGTATCCAATCAGACCATGAACACTGTGAATGAGCTTGTAACTCCTGAACTGTGAGCAGCATGAATCAGCTGGCACATGGCAGACACATCATCATCATCATCATCATCACCTCTAGTCCTTTATGAGCTCCTTGCAGACGGCCCGTACATCAGAAATGATGTCACAACTGTTGGTGTGTGGTGCACTTGTTGCTGTTAGTTTGCTGCACCTCTGTCTTTTGTAACCTGCTTCCTGTGTGTGTGTATTTACATGAAGTCTAATCAGTTTAACACAAATGTTCTGCAAAAAGCACCAAAGCAACATGAGCGTCAGCTGGGGACGGGCACAGACTGAGTGATTAACTCCATCACTGAGACCTCCTGTATGTTCTCGCTGCCTCTGCTGTGAGAGGCTGCACAGTCTCTGAGCAGCACATCAGAGACGTCACATCATGCAGATTCATTGCACGCTGTCTGGTCAAATGTTTGTCATGCTGGAGGTGTTTCAGTGTCCCACACACCAACACAAATCCCAGTGACGACACATGTGATGTTTGTCTTAGTGTTTAGGTCTGAGCACTTGATCGTCTCAGGTAGAAACGGAGGCTGACTGCTCGTCACGTTGTTACCTGATGAAGGCTCTGGCTGCTGGTCTGGGGTCAGCACACACTCTGCTGTAGCATCACTCTGGGCTCTTAGCTTAGCGTTAACATGCTGCCTGTGGTGTTGGCTGTCTGCATCATGCTGACACTCAGACACAGGGTGCTGGCAGTGGCTGCGCTCATCATCCTGGTGCCTCTACACTGATGAAAGAACTAAAAAGGTTTCTGTGCTCATAAAAACACGGCCACGTCTGATAAGCAGGTCAGTTTCAGATCCAGCAATCAACCAAGAACCATCATAGCTGCTGCTGAGCTGAGCACCTGTATGGACATCAGACTGACTGAATCCAGACACATTAAGTGTACAAAGGCACAGCTGCTGTCTTTAGCAGCAGAGGCTAACTTGCTAACCCAGCTGCTTTCTTCTTTTGACTGATGAAAGTTTCTGTGAACTTGTCGAGACTTCATATATAAACCTCCCCCACCTTTAAATCTATCATCACACCTCATGGCTGTCCTGGTGAGCTTTGTCCCCATTAATCTGCAGCGTTGACTTTAATATCAGATTATTAGTCCACACCAGGTTAACGGGAGCTCCTGACACGCCCCCTGTGTGTAACGGGCTGTGTGAGTTGATGGCTGCAAAGAAGCCTTCGTTTGGTTTCCTTCATTTCTTTCATTTGGGATATGAGCCAAAGTCATGACATCATCACGAACATCTCCCTGTTAACGTACAAACTTCGCTTCACCTTTGAAATGAATTCATGAAATCTGAGCTATGAGTTCAACAAAGAAGAGAGAAACATTGTCACTGCTTTGTACTCGTGAATATAGTGACATGTAAATTTGCTAATAAATTGTATTTTCAAACACTTGTATTTTGTCGTTTCCTGTGTCGTACGCTCTGGACTCAGTGGTCCTCGGCCGAGCTCACGCTCGCTGTCGGCACCGGAGCGGTGCATTAGTGCCGGTCTAGCTTGGATGGGTTGTTTTAAGCTGGCCTGTAAGCAAAATAGATGCACAGATTCCTGCAGCTACAAAAACGAGACTTAGTGGAGAAAAACCAAACGCTCCTCCAGGAGCAGCTCCTCCTTCACTGCTCCAGGGCTGTGCAGGTGTACTGTCCCCCACAGCCCTGCCGTTAGGACTGCACCGAGTCAAATACAAGTATGAGATGTGATGGTGCTGTGAAAGCACGGTTCATGTCACAGCCATGTTGACGTCAGTTGACGTCCACAGCCTGTCATGACCCCCCCCCCACTGTGTGAGCGCCCCCTGGCTTCTCTGTGTCAGCTAAACGCCTCCCTCCTCTTTCCAGGGTCAGGGGAGTCTGAATAACACGAGCAGCTCTCAGATCCCGGAGGAAGACGTGGATCAGGTCCAAGGTATCATCTGTTTCTCACTTACATTGTTTCACGTGCTGCCAACCCCACGAAGGCTGTTCACCGACTAACCGTCGGCCCTGGTCACTGCATAGACGAACAGAGCAGCCAGTGGCACCACGATGTCTGTAAGAAACCAATATTTGAAGAATTCATTACATTACAAATGATTGTGGTAAAAACCCGAGTCAGGAAACACAGATCCCAGAGAGGTGATGGTACCTGAAGCTTCATCGTTAGTACTCAGCAGCACGGTGTGTGGGACTGAGCCAGGAGAGAGTATCATCCAGTGCCAGGGTGGCTGAGCTCTAACACACTCAAGACTAACATACACCCAGAATAATGTGTATTTTTCATCATAGGACTCTCAGCTGTAGGCAAAAACTCCACACTTGATTTCAGTCTTAGTGCCTGTGTGAGAGCTGGGACAGTTTGGGTGAGCATGCACGCTGCTGTGGAACATCCTATCCTATGGTTCATATTCTGTCTGAATGAAACTATCATGAAACCTAGAGACTGTTCGAGTGTTCAGAACTTGCAGACGTTGTACCGGCGCACTGGAAATGTAAGGCTGAGACTAAAAAAGTATCCAGATCAGTTAACAAAGCACTTTGGCGTCTCACTGAAGGTGAAAAGGAGAAACTTGTCAGGTATTAACCTGAAAAATGCCGTTTCTAATCCTGTTTCTTTGCTGTGGGCTCCTCAGGCTCCACTCCAGGGAAACAGTCCCTCCCAGGGGCAGCTGGATTGGCAGGAGGACATCAGGACACAATGTCACCAGGAGACTGAGGCCCTGTACAGGCTCTTGGTAAATGCATTGAGGAAATTAATGACTGGTTGTGCCACAATTTTCTCCAACTAAACAAAAACAAAACTGAAGTAATAGTCTTTGGCACCAAAGAAAAACGATTACAGGTCACCAGAGAACTTCAATCTATGCATCTAAAAACCACAGACCAGGCGAGAAATTTGGGTGTAGTGATGGATGCAGACCTAAACTTAGAAAAACACATTAAGACAATAACAAAGTCAGCTTACTATCACCTCAAGAATATATCAAGGATAAAAGATCTGATGTCTCAACAGGACCTGGAAAAACTAGTCCATGCATTCATCTTTAGTAGGCTTGATTCCTGTAACAGCATCTTTACAGGTCTACCTAAAAAATCAGTCAGACAACTACAGCTCATTCAGAACTCTGCTGCTCGAGTCCTCACTAAGACCAAAAAAGTGGACCACATCAGTCCAGCTCTGAGGTCCTTACACTGGCTGCCTGTCCGTCAGAGGATAGACTTTAAAGTTCTGATGCTGGCCTATAAAGCTCTGAATGGTTTAGGACCAAAATACATCAATGACCTCCTGACCCAGTATGAACCTTCCAGATCCCTCAGGTCATCTGGATCCGGTCTTTTATCAGTTCCCAGAGTCAGAACCAGACACGGAGAAGCTGCATTCAGCTTTTATGCTCCTTATATCTGGAACAAACTCCCAGAAAGCCTCAGATCAGCTGAAACACTCAGTTTATTTAAATCCAGGTTGAAGACTCACCTGTTCTCAGCTGCATTTGAATAAAGCACCAAATCCACACTTTAAGCTTAAATTTCAAAAGTTACATTAACTACTGATCTTATCTATTTCTGATTTTATCTGTTTTGATTTTATATACTGTTGTTTGTTGTTTGTTTGTTAATTTGTTAGTTAGTTTATTTGCTTGTTTTAATCAATTTTAAATCATGCTTTTTATTTGTTCTTGTTTCTAATGTCTCTGTAAAGCACTTTGAATCACCTTGTTGTTGAATTGTGCTATACAAATAAACTTGCCTTGCCTTACGGAGCAGCATCCTGTTCTAAACTCAAAATTGCATCAGTCAACCAAATCAGTTCAAAGCCAGCCTCTGGTTTTCCACCAGGTTCCAAGATGGCTCAGAGTGGAGCTCTGCTGCGAAGCTTGACGGCGCTGCAGTCGGCTTGCTGCCACGTGGGGCTGACAGACGTGGTGGGTCGTGGGTAGGAGGTGGAGACGAGGGAGCGCCTCTCAGCAGAGCTGAGTGCTGACATCATCAGCCGGAGGTGTGGGGTTCAACGCCTCTCCTGTTGCCATAGAAACAGTGGACTCCCAGGTCCAGCTAACATGGCCATCGTGGTCGCAGATGCAGCAGATGGACAACTTATCGAGTCCGAGCAGCAGTCAGGAGCAGGGGTCTGGCTCTCGCTTGGTGTGTTCGGAGCGATAATGCTTCTTTTGCAGTGCAGCTGTCTTTGCACCAGTCTTTCACCGATGTAGTGTGTGGACTGTGTGTGAACCAGTATGTGACTCAACACCAATGGGCTATTTACTGACAGGGTGTAGCCTTCAGATCGTCATCACCAGGTGTTCCTAATACACTCCGGGGTGACCCGGCCACTGTGACAGAAAACAGCCTTCATTTAGTTTTCCTGACACGTTCTAAGGTGACTCTGTGAATGATGGTCAGACTTTCTACCTCAGGACTTTCTGGTAGAGAGCAGAATTCATGGTTTCATCGATTACAGCAAGTCTTCCAGGCCATGGAGCTGCAGTTCACCCCAGAGCAGGGGTCGGCAACCTTTCTGATGATGAGTGCATCTAAACTTTCCTCAAAAGTCAGTGTGCCATATGACTGCATTAGCAATAAATGTAATAACGCTCTATACTAGCAGTCCTTCACAAACAGGGAACAGTCTGTCTATTCTCTCCATCTGTCAGCTGCTGCTGGCTCTTCCTCACACACTGCTGAGTTTGTCCTGGTGGATCATCAGGGCTGCAAAGCCTCACAGATGATGTGCAGCAGTGGGTCCCTCAGTCTGTCCTCACTCTGGACACTTGCAGTCGTCACACATGGAAATCAAATGTGTGATCAGCTGCAGGATTCAAACACAAGTGTAACTTGCTTCAAGGAGTCCATCATTGTTCCTGTCCCGAAGAA